GAGTGTAGAGGGGAGTTTGAGAAGAAAGTACAGTTCGGGGAACAATATAGTAATGGATAGGTTCAAACTCAATTGATCTATTTGAGATACTTTGTATTTGTTCACAATCCTTTTAGTATATATTTATAATAACATACCAGCACTAAGAAATACTCCGTATAACTCTATACTCACTCCGTACCAAAATGAAATTTACAATTTGTTTTCCTGAACATCCCAAAACGAACTTTACACTTGTCCACTTTCATTATATTAATCCACACGCCTTTCATTTTTCACCAAAACCTTTCGATTTTCAACATTTTCCTTAAGCTGCCGTGAAGACAAATTGGAAACCTCCTTTTTGGGACGGTGGGAGCATTTCAAAAAGTCAATGATCAAACTTGACTTGGTATTTTCTAGTGAAAGCTCACATTCATTTTTCTTTATTTGGAGAAGTATCTTGTTTCCACCATTTTATATGTTTCAAACATAATAGAAAAAGTAGCTTAAGGCTGAGGGATTCAAACCATACCTGCAGTTGGTTTTTTAGGCTTCACTTTAGGAGTGTCTTCAACCAGCAAAGTCTCAAGATTTATGCTATCAGGCAGTATGTAATAGCGAATGTTGTTTCCCCTCACACTCAGGTGATCCATAGTCACGGGGTTCTTTCCCTTTGGCGTCAGCTTTACTGTCTTTAAGTGTGTGTTCATACTGACATCAACCCCTGTAAAGCACAAAATGAAGTAGAAATAGTTGTTGATTTTCAAGTTCACCAGGTAATATAAAATCAATAATAACAGTCATAGGACTAATATATACTCCGTAATTTGTATGCTTTAATCTGTTATTCCTATGGATATGAATTGAAAAGCTCGACTCTAAAAGTTCCACGACCATGAGAACTGGAAGCATATAGTTTGATTATAGACGATAATTGCTGAAAGTTTAATTTACAATGAAAAAGACACATTTCCAGACAGAAATATTTCAAAGCTGGTAAGTGAATTACACAAAAAGATTACATCATCCTTGTTTAGTCATATTCAAACACACATTTAACAGTGAAGGTTGCATTACAGTCCTCTTTTTCGTTCTATAGGACGAATCCATTTAAAAAAAGATAAAACCAGTGAATTTGTGTATTCAATATTCATTGTCAAATCCTCCCATAAAATAAAAGTAGCATGTGTGCAGTTTATTTTTAAGTATTACTCCCTCCGTCCATTTTTTATCTTCCCAATTTCCTTTTTCGGTTGTCCACAAGTTATATTCCTATTTCCTATTTTGGCAATTTTTTGGGGGGTAAAATGTCTTAGTTGCCCTTACAACTAATTTCTCCTAGCAAAACCAGTAGACACCCTGTTTCAAAACAACCTCTTCCCAACCACATTTCTTTTCATTTTATCTTCTTCCCCCAACAATTACATCCCTATTTTTTTCTCTTTTCCAGACATTTCTTCCCAAAACAGCCCCCATCGTCTTTAAAACTCCATCAACTCCTCATTTTCTTCTTTTGCAGGTTGCCTTCTTCCCACAACATTGAACAAGATCGAAGTCGCATCGTTGTGACGCATCTCCACAGGAGCAGCATTGTCAAGTTGTCTCATCTACGTCGGATCTCATCGGACAGCGTGTGTAACCCATGCTTGATTTGGCCGGATCTGAAGGTGTAGTCCTTCTTTGATTCAAGCAGATTTCTACATCAGATATGATTCCAACCCGGATTTGTGATAGAGATGGTCAGTGGTGACTGTACTTTGGTGGTGAAGTCAGAAGCGGAGACTGATGGTAGAGTGGTGGTGGATATATGGTGGTGGTGTGTGGCTGAGCAAAGGAGAATGGAGAGTGTCGTTCTGGTAGAGGGCCCAAAGTAATAGAGAACTGAGAGTGATGTTTAGGCAAAGGGCGAGGGAGGGCATTTTGATTTAGTCAATGTAATTTCCATCTTATATTAATTTGGGTGCCAGGTCAAACCTGGAAGATAAATAATGGACGGAGGGAGTATGTAACAAACTACTAATAATTAGCTTACACTAAGACTTCCTAAATACTCAACCACTACATAATACTAAGAAAAAGTCATCAGATCAGAGTTTAATAGAACATTGGAAAAAGCAGCACACACTAGAGCATATTGTACTGCAGACACCTCACCCCCACCTCCCATTGCAATCATTCACTCAAATGTTTATCAAGCTCAATTGTCAAAACTGAAATAACCTTAGTAGTTGAGAAGCTTGCTTAGGGCAGTGTAAACCAAAATAAGAGGCAGCACACAACTTTATTTGCAACATCTAGAAGGAACTCTTAGAATACAGAAACATGAAAAGACGAAAACTGCAAAACCATAAGCACTCCAAAATCAATGCTTCGCCAATATGTTACTTCACAAGTAAAGCAAGGGGTGCTGATGATGAGAGATGGCAACACTCCCAGTCGAATGAAATCCTTTGAAGAGTCCTACATTACATGGTATCCATTCTTCATAAACCACAATTCTTTTGAAATTCAAAAGAACCTACAATCTTCTTCTAAAATATTTGGATACCCTTTCCATTTCCTTCATAATAACCTCGAAGTCATACAAGAATCCTTAACATGCCCATTGTCCCCAAGGCACTACTCATACGGAAGGAACCCCAAACACATAAGAAAATAAGAATAGGAGCAAATCATGTAAATGTTCAACTTCCTGGTTCAATTTAACTCAAAATCCCAAACACAAACTATTCGCCTCGATAACCTAGCAGATAGAAATTCTTCAACAAACTATACGAAAACGAGAATAGGGGCAAATCATGTATATCTACAGAGCGTGAGAACGAGATAAACCTGTAATGGTTCCATTGACGACGGTGCCGTTTTTCAGCTCAATCGAGACAGTCTCGTTGTTCAATTTCATCAAAAATCTGCAAAATTAAAACCGAAGCCCAGAAAAAAGAGTAGAAATTAGAGTGACGGAAATATACGGTATCTGAATACGGTAATAACGCAGCGATTCGCGTCAAGAAACTGACCTGACGAGCTTCATTGCGGAGAGGGGAGAAGCTAGGGCTCAATCCAAGCTGGAAGAGATGAGAAGTCCCGCCGGCCTAAAATGAGAGGGCTTTAGGCTTTAAATCAAGAGATACATTCAAACGACGTCGGCTGCACGCTTAATCTTTTTTTTTTGTATTTACCTATTTACCCCTCACGCCTTTAATCAAGAGAGAAAATTATCCCAATAATCTCATTTTTAATTGATGTTTCAAAAATAATTTTATATGGCCTTGTTTGAAATAATGTTTTCGGTTAGCATTAGCATTTTGGATAAAATTTTAATGGTATAGATTAATCCTGAATACGCTGACGATAAAAACTACAGTCAGATAGCATTTTCAAAACGCTAACGCTTGTCAAATAGGACCAATAAAAGCATGGGCAACGACATGTAAAAAATGAAATGTCACACGATGATGTAGAATATTTAATTAATTAAAATCAGTCCAGTCAACGTGTGACAAATAAGTGCATGACATGCCTTACAATGAGAAGATGTTTTTTGTCATTTTTACAGTTTTTAAAAGTATTTTAATTATTAAAAATTATTTTACATATCTTTTTTTATAAAAATAAACTTCTTTTTTGTACAAAAAATTAAAAGCATTGGCAGGCGCATGGAATGCTTATCAGGGTGAAACGGTATTGCCACTCCATGCTAAGGAGAGATCAAGGCTGATGTGGCACAGCGAGGCAAGGAGGTGCTTTGCCGTCATCGATGCTCTAATATCACTTTTACTGAAATGTACGCGTTTTAGGCTGCCTTTAAATTTCTAACTCCAGGTTAATAGAAATTATACTCCCTCCGTCCCAAAAAGAATGGGACGGTTTGACTTTTTGGGAAATTAAGGGAGGAATATTTTGGTATTGACTTTTCAAAAATACCCTTGATGTGATGGGTAGATTATTAGAAAAAAGGTATGATGTGATAGGTAGGGTATGAAAAAGTAAGGGGTAAAAGTGGTTTTTTAATAGAAATGTAACGAACTTTACGAGACGCAGTTTTTTCTAAACGTAACAAACTTTTTGGGACGGAGGGAGTATATTTTATGCAGAAAAATGAAAAGAGAGATCTTTTTTATTTTTTAAATTTTATATTTTTATTTTTGAACTTTTCCAATAAGTTTTTAAAATTAATTCCAACCTCTATCATCTTCTTTCTTAAATTAGTATAGCTTCAGGGAAAAAATAGATAAACTAACTGCATACTTGAAGAAATATGTTAGAAATCCACTATACACCATAAAAATATTAAGCTTTAAATTTGAATATTTGATTCTTAAAATTAGGTCGACTTTTAGATAGAATTACCCAGGAGTAACTTCCACTTCCTCCTTCCCAAATTAATTTTTTTTTTTTGGATTGTCGCAAAATAATATTCCTCTTTTCTTTTTCTAGAAAGCATTTTTCTCTCTTATTTGCACCACTTTCAAGCACACAATTTTAGTTTTCTTAAACTTCGTGTAAGATCAGACTAGGAGTTTTACATTGGGATGGAAAGGTACTATGCAGAGCTTGTTCTTTACAACTAAAAAAAACTTGAAAAAAACTAGAAAAAACGGGAGAAAACCTGAACAAACAAGAAAAAACTTCAAAAATTTATTTAGATGTATTTTACATAGTATTCTTATTATAATTATAATTGTTGTTGTTGTTAACAATGTTGTTCTTATAATTATTAGTATTGCTGGTATTATTATTATTATTAATATTATTACTACTATTACTACTATTATTATCATTGTAGACCATTTTAGGCATTGTTAGGGGAGTATCAATTTTTTGAACTGGGCATCGTAAGTCATTGTTGTCATATATTATGACAACAAAACTTGTTGTCAATTCAAAAAGAAGAGAGCCGTACTTATATTTATTTTTATTGGTTTTATGCCAGACTACAATATACGGAGTATCAAAATTTATTTCAATTAAGGCTAATTTTTTTTACTGTACCTGATCTGAGTAGTTCATTAGAATCGCCCTCATAAAAAATAAATACCAAAATCTGGAAATAATTTTTTTCAAGAATTGAGACAAACTTGAATAGATATCCGAATGACTTACACGTGCCATGCATATTCACGCAAGTTGTCTCCACGTGTCAGAATCCCAAGGCAACCGCCGCCGCCGCCATTAAAAGACGCCAGTTTTTAAAGCCCGGCCGGCCGCCCTTCGAGTGTGTGTTCGTTCAAAAATCACCAGAAAGAAGAAGAAGAAAAATAATATGCAGGCGCAAGAAGAGATGAGAAGCGGCGGGCAAAAAGGAAGAAGAGAGGAAGACCAGATTCCGTCAATGGCGTTGAACCACGTTTCCAGGCTGTGCAGAGATGTCAGGAAGTCTGTGGAGTTCTACACCAAGGTGTTGGGGTTGGTGGAGGTGGAGCGGCCGCCGGGGTTCGACTTCGACGGCGCCTGGCTCTTCAACTACGGCGTCGGCATTCATCTCATCCAAGCGAATCAAGGCAACAAAGTGCGACTCCCCGGTCTCCAAACAGATCCAGACCGCCATCTTGACCCCGTTGACAACCACATCTCTTTCCAAGTACAATATACTCCCTCCGTCTCTCAAAACGGTTCCTCTTTTAATTTGACTTTGGGGAAAAATAGGGAAGTGTTAAATTGTAGTTGACTTTCCAATTTTGTCCTTGATGTGATAAGTAAAAGTAAGATGTGATAGTTTAATTGATAGTGAAAAATATGATGTGATAGGTAGGGTATGAAAAAGTAAGGGTAAAAGTGGTTTTTTAATAGAAAGTGGAAGTGTTTTAAGAAAAACAAAAAAATGAAAGGAGAAGGGTTTTAAGAAAGGGAGGGAGTAATATATACCCTTGCCATCCTTAGTTTCTCTATTCTAACTAGTGGCATGATATAGTAGTTTCTGACTTTTACAGAAATGGACCATTATTCTTTTAATTTAATCGGGCTACCTCTTCGTAAAATTGATTGTTTCCATCCTCTAACCTTTGGAAAACCTTCTAGCCCGTGGTATCTCCGACGCACCTTCACGCCACCTTCCAATTGCACCATCTTTCATTTTGGTCAAAAAAAAATTGACTAGCAAAATGAAAAGTGGTGCGATTGAAGAGGGGGATTATTTCATACTTTTCTGTTCTTAAAGGGTTCATAGATACAGAAAAAAACATGTCATCTACTGAGACTTTATGGTAATTGCAGTGCGATGAAATGGCGAAGGTGGAGAGAAGGCTGAAGGAAGAGGGGGTGGAGTACATGAAAAGAACGGTTGGGGAAGGAACCGCCATAGACCAGCTGTTCTTCAAAGACCCGGATGGATTCATGATCGAGATCTGCAACTGCGAGAAAGTGGCTTTGGTTCCCCAGAGATCTATGGCCAAGATCAGGCTTCCTTCCGACCGCCACAACCCAAAACTTGATTTATTTTCAATCAAGCATATATAACTTGATGTATGGTTTAATTAATAGAAATTTACTTAAATAACACTAAAATATAATAACTTTTCCTAAATAATATCACATGTGTTTTTCTTCCCAACATAGCACTTTTAGTCATTATGCATTAGTCATTATTCAAGTAAATATTCATCATCACTGGACAAGTAGACATTATTAAGTGATCTTTCAGGAATAAAACAATTTAAGTGCTATTTAGGAAAATGACTTAAGTTTTAGTGCTATTTAATTAAGTGATATTTAGAGAAATGACTTAAGTTTTAATATTATTTACAACATTATTTATATATCAGGCCTAAAATGTTACGAGTATCTTAGCTAGGAATCCACGCCCTAGTTGCCCCCATTGAATTCAATAGTTTTACATTGGGTTAAGCTATTTGTACACTAAAATTTGTACTTCAATTCATTTTGCACCCCAAAGACATACACAAGCATTTTGTGTTAATGTGATGTTAGTGTTATAATTCACATTGGTAAAAAATGTCAGTGCAATTTTTTTTTAATTACACCGATATTTTATGCACGTGTGATCCGTTGAGTGCAAATTAGGGTAGATTTTTGGTGTACTTCTAGTGTGATTGATTTGCATTTGTATAAATATTTTTCTAAAAATTATGCTCTCTCCTCCGACCTTAAATTTTTTCCCACATAATATAACGTTGGCATTTAAAGTAGGTGTAATTTGGTTACTCCGGGGTATTATTTTTCATTTTACTCTGTATTTATAATAGCCTAATAGGATAGCTTGTGATTTGTAGATTAATAATAAGAATAGTAATTTAGTATGATGAGACACTTAAATAACACTAAAAGTTAAGTCATTTCTTTAAATAGCACTTAAACTATTTTATTCCATAAATAACATTTAATAATATCCATAATGTCCAGTGATAAAAAATACAAAGTATTTATTTTAATAATGACTAATGCATAATGACTAAAAGTGCTACATTGGAAAGAAAAACACATGTGATGCTATTTAGGGAAAGTCATTATGTTTTAGTGCTATTTAAATAAATTTCCCTTAGATTAATCATTACTATTTTTGATCGGGAATACTCAATCCGTCATTCCTATTCCAATTGCTGGAGTTATGATAAGGTTCAATTTGGTACAAAAACTTCAGAAGGGAATAGGAGTTAGAAAGTTTCAATTTCAATTCTGCTGTTTGATAGGACAAAAATATTCTCCCTCCGTCCCACTTTAGATTACAATATTTCCTTTTTGTTGAAATTAAGGAAGAGTCAAATCAAAAAAAATTTCCCCAAATTACCCCCAAGTGGCCTACTCACATGGATGAATAGTTATGTAAAATTAAATTTTAAATTTTAAATTTTAAATTTTCTATTTTATATTTTAAATTATAAATTTTAAATTATAAATTTTACTCTCGAAGTTTTAAATTTTAAATTTAAAAATATCAAATTTTAAGTTTTTAGTTAAGATTTTAAATATTATGTTTTAAATTTTAAACATCGCGATAACAAAGAAACTAGTCTAATAAAACTAAAAATAAACATTTAAAATTTAATAATAAAAAATAAAATTTAAATTTTAAAATTAAAAGTTAATAACAAAATTAATAATAAAAATTAATAATAAAAAACTAAAAAATTAAAAACTTAAAATCAAAATTAATTATTAATAATTTTAGTTTAAAACTGAAAAGTAAAAATTTAAATTTTAAACTAAAATTTTAAAAATTAAACTTAAAATTTAAAACACATAAAATAGAAATTTTTATTTTAAAATAAAAAATTAAAAATTGACATTAAAAATTAAAAATTAAAAATTAAATATTAGATATTAAATATTACGGAGTAAAAAAAATTTAATTTAAAATTTAAAAATGCAAATATAAATTTTAAATTGTATGATTTAAATTTTAAATTTTAAGTTTCGAATTTTTAATTTTTAATAATTAATTATAAATATTGAATATTGAATTTTGCATTTAATGTTTAAAGTTTTATTTTTAAAATTTAAAATTTAAAATTTAAAATTTTAATTTTAAAATTTTAAAATTTAAAAATTTGAAATTTATGTTTTAAATATTAAATTTTAAATTTTATGCTTTGAATTTAAAATCTTAAAATTTTAATTTGAAATTTTATATTTTAAATTTTAAGTTTTAAGCTTTAAGTTTAAAGTTTACATTTAAAATTTAGAAAGTTAAATTTTAAAATTTACATATAAAGCTTATATTTTAAATTTTAAATTTTATATTTTGAACTTTAAAGTTTAAAATAAGGTTTTGCTTTTTTATTTGTCTATAGCGAGAAATTTTCAAAATATAATTTCGATCAATTCTATTTGCTGTTTTATGTTAACAAACAAACTCTTTCCAAAAACCAAGCAAATGCTTTGGAATAATAATACAATTCTATATCAATTTTCTTAAATATAACAAACAATAGGTTTGGAATTGAATTAGAATTTTATTCCATCTTATTCAATTCCATAAAATACTAATTCAAATTCATGTATCCAACAGAGCATAAGACTCCGTTTGGTACAGAAACTCAAACTTTAGAATTGAAATTAAAGACAATAGTTCTAATTCTGCTGTTTGGTAACACAAAAATATGTGGGTTAAGAATGATAGTTCAAGAAATGAATTTAAATGGGATAATTTAATTTTATCCAAATCAATTTCATACAATTTTAATTCTCATTTCAATTGTAATTCTGTTCATGTACCAAACGGGACCTAAGTATTTTGGAATTTGAAATACTTCTCCCATTTTTATCATATATTTTCTCATTTTTTCTGGATAGGAAATGCATTTTTATTAATAAGGACATCCCAAAAATTCGGAAGGCTTATGATGGATTTATTAAAAAGAGCCCAAATAAAGTGACCAAGGCCCAATATACACAATTAAATGCTAAACCATTAAGGTCCACAATATTTGTAAAAGGACGAAGCGCCCAAACGAAATGGATTGGGTAATCCCAATTCGAACGTGAGGTCCAAATCTACCTGTGGATCAAAGTCGGTTTTAAATGCCCCTATTGAAGTTTAGTCAAAATATATATACAAATTAATATTGACTTGACTCCGATCCTGCCCAAACCGACTTGACTAAGTTTTTATACTCACTTGAACTTGATCTAGAAAGAGACAAAAAAAGACCCTTAATTAGATCTATTAAATTAAATTTTATAAATTAATTGTATGTTTTTAATTTATGAACTAATTTTCCCTAAATGACAATTAAGGATGGGTAAAATTCAAAAAAAAAATGAGCCTCCGAAAAATGGGCTTGGCCATGTGGATACGCACCGAACAATAATCTGAGGTAAGTGCATGCATTAACCAAACGTTCATTACAAACCGAACTTAAGTCGACTAAAAATGTACTCTCTCCGTCCCAAAAAGAATTTCCTACTTTAAATAACATGCAAAACTCCGTAGATTTTGAAATGATTTTATTTGCAAATTGGTAAGAAAATAACAGATAAAAAATTATATTTAAAAACTACATTAGAAACTCTACAAATTAAGATGTGACAAGAATATTTTATTTTATGAAATGATCAATGAAAACACGCAAACAAATAAGAGTTATCGAGATGCCCTAATAATAAACAGGAAAGATTTTTTGGGACGGAGGAAGTATGAATCTAGAAAAATTATTTTACGGACTTTAATACATTTGTAGCATTAAAAATGTCAGGCTTATGTAAAAAAACTACAAGCAAGCCCATAAGAAATATGAAAAGATCCAGACCTTAGGACCACGTTAGCATCATTCATGAATCCAAATATCACCCCTTGATAACAACTAAAATTTATAATAATAAAAATATTACTAGTACTAATTATAATAATAATAATATTATCATTATTATTAGGAATTATAGAGGCATTAAGAAATAAAATATTACTCCCTCCGTCCTTGAAAACCATCACATCATTGGACATATTACCAATCACATCAAATGATATTTTTGGAAATTTAATACCAAAATACAATCCCCTTAAATCTCTTCAAAATCAAAACATCTCATGTTTAAAGGGACGGAGAGAGTATTATTTATTATCTTTCTTATACTAGGATTTGAATTTTTTCCGTAATCCCAATATATAGGGATATATTCTACATTATCCAATAACATCAATTATTATCAAATTATATCATGATTTCTATCTCTCCAAAAAATAGTGTTTGTCTAATAGCCACCACCAATCCTGACAAGCGTGCATAACTCCCACCATTTTTTATCCTTCTTTCTCTTTCTAATAAAATCATGTGCATGGAAAATTTACCAAGCAAGGAACTAAGCAAATATTTTAACAAGTTTGGTCGTCATGCAACGAAAATTTACCTCTCTACTTATAGCGGTTATTCGAAAATGCTTCTGCTGGCTATATTCAGGTACTTGTGCTTCAGGCTGCTCCTCACTGCCAATGATTATTTCTGGATATAGATTAAGAGTATGGGGGCATTAGCCCCACTCAATTTTTTTTATTTTTAAATATATTGTGCACAAATTTCTTGTAAATTAAATAATGCACCCTATAAAAAAATATTTGTGCCCCGAGTAAAAAAATGCATTTCAAAACAAAGAACTTATTGTTTAAATAAAAATATAAATTAAATATAAAGTATTTGAAATATAATTTTTGTAAGATGCATATATATTAATGCTTTTAGAGATGGAGAGTATAGTGTATATAGTATAAGGAGTATCAGAAGTAAAATTATTCAAAATCGATGTTGGTCTATCATATAAATTACAGAATATGATTATGTTCAAATATTCGTTTAGGATTCGTTGCGTATTTAAATATTAATCGACTACAAATTCAAATGTTATTTTTAATTCGTCTCATATTCGAATTCAGATTTGTATTCGAAAAAATAAGACAAATACAAATTCAAATATCTCGACATTCGCTTCGGTTCGATTCGTTTATACGCCTAATCACATCAATGACAAAACTGAAGTGTTAACAATAAATATACACTCCTTATTTTTCCTAAAAACCAAAATAGGAACCGTTTTATGAAACAAAAAACTTTTTTTTAATATTAAAAAAATTTAATTCAACTCTTAAATACT